GATATGCTATCAGATACAGTTGTTAGTATTTTGCCATATATGGTTTAATTCTCAAATGGAGGAAGAAGTTTATAATGGTAATCTTGAATAAATGAAATTAAAAAATGATAAGCAAGTGTATATTGTAGCATACTGGAAAGATAATGAAACATACAATAATGATGCTGAGGATTATGGCATTTCAAAATTCGAACTTGCTGCAGATATAAAATACGGAGACCTTATGTTATCTTGAAAGTGAACTAATGATTTTTTTTTAATTGCTATTTTCATAGTGGCATATATTTTATATTTATATTTGGACACATTATATGCTATTTGCATATATTTAAATATTTTGGTTTTTAATTTTTTTATTTTATATTTTTAAACTTCTTCGAGATTATTTTATAACTATTTTTATAATGTTTGTAACTTTATTTTATATAAAAACATTGTTTTGAACCCCCTCCCCCTTGTTCTTTTCAACACACACACCCCGCCCCCGCCACTTTTTATTAACTCTTAAGTATGCCTATTTATGTTTGCCCAGAGGCAGTTGATGCTTTACATTGATGCTTTCTTTAGATTTGATAAACCTATTGATAACTAATTTATAAAAATTAAACTTTTTGTGTGAATACTTAAATACCCACTCTGCACCCACTATGTGCCCCCATCATCGCAACCCAACATGGATACATTTTTCCACCACTGTTACTCGAGGTATATTTGTTACTTATCTCAGCTTTCAATTGATACCAAATTTAATTAAATTGGATAATTTTTATTGCAGTAATGATTAATTTAAGTTGTTAATTGCAAATTAACGGTCACAACTTTCAGCAAAGTTCACTATGAAAATTTTATGTTTAAAAAACTCATAAATTTCTTAAATGACATCGAAAAACTTAGAGTGAGGAATTTTTCTTAATTACTAAAAGGTGCTTCTAATGGTGACTTTGAATTTAATACCACGCTTTTTTGATTTTTTTTATAACATACCAAATATATATATATATATATATATATATATATATATATATATATATATATATATATATATATATATATATATATATATATATATATATATATATATATATATATATATATATATATATATATATATATATATATATATATATATATATAAAGAATTTTAAAAAATGTATTCTACAAAAGAGAGTGCTCAATGTTCTTAAAAGAACAGAGCAATTAAAGATGAATAAAGTTATACTATTTTTTTGAATGAAAAAGTTCAGCATTTTATTAAAAGAATTCGTTGGAAAGACCATTTTTTCTTAAAACCAAATATAAACACAGATGATGTATTTAATAATACCCAAGATAATGATAATTATGGATTTAAAACGAAAAATACCCCACCTTTTATACCTGATTTGGAAAATTTTGAAAATGACCCATTGCATTTAATTAAAACAATAAAGTTTCGCCCTATAAAAAATAAATTTCAAACAGAATTAAAGTTAGATGTTAAAAAAATTAAATCAAACCCAAATGTTTTGGTTTTTGCTGATAAAACAAATAACATTTACCAACTCACAACAGAAAACTATGAAAAAATTTTACGCAACAATATTACTAGTTCTTATGAGAAAGCCCCTAAAAATTTGGAAAACGCAATTAATTTAGAAGCCCAAAGTATTACTAAAAAAATAAACCTTAATAACAGAATTGAATCAACTGCCCCTGCCCAAGCCTTTGTAACACTAAAAGACCATAAACCAAACTTTCAAAACAAACTTCCTCGTAGGTTATTGGTTCCCTCAAAAAGTGAGATTGGACATGCAAGCAAAATTAAATTGGACAAAATTAATAATATTTTTAGAAATAAATGAAGTTTGCAACAGTGGAAAAATACCACTGATGTTATAAATTGGTTCTCCATAATCGAAAATAAAGATGACTGTACATTTATTCAATAATTGAATAAATGTACAGTCATCTTTATTTTCGTATTTATCTTTATTTCATCTTTATCATCTTTATTTCGTATATTTATGTCAAATTATTTGACATAAATGATTTTTACCCTTCAATAACTGCAGATATTTTTAATAAAACAATCGAACTTGCAAAAAGCCACACAGTTATTCCTGAAGAAACAATCCGTATAATAAAACATAGTAGAAAAACCTTACCTTACTTACTTAAGGAAACTTGGAAAAAGAAAAACATACATGACTGCTTTGATGTGACAATGGACAGTTATGACGGAGCAGAAATTTGTGAGTTTGTTGGACTATATATTTTAGATTTATTAAGTAAAATAATAAATATAAATGATTTAGGCCTTTATCGCGACGATGGTTTGTGGTATAGTAATGCGTAAAAAATCTGGTCCACAGCTCGGTAAGATTCGAAAAGATATTATAAAAATTTTTAAAAATATTGGCTTTCATATCGAATCAAACATAAATTTAAAAATTGTGAACTTTCTTGATGTCACATTTAACCTCTCTAAAAATTCATATAAGCCTTTCAAAAACGATGAATTATTGTATATTAATATTAACTCAAATCATCCACCACAAATTCTAAAACAAATCCCGATTTCAATTAATAACAAGTTAAACCAAAACTCCTCTAATAAAAATGTATTTAATGCCTCCAAACGAATATTTGAAGATGCCCTTAAAAAAAGTGGTTTTGAAAATTTTGAACTAAAATTTGCCCCTGAAAAAAAGAATACAAAAAAACGGAATAGAACTAGAAATGTAATTTGGTTCAACCCCCCCCCCCCCCCATATAGCAAAAATGTTTCCACTTACATAGGTAAAGTGTTTTTAAAATTAGTCGCTAAGCATTTTCTCGCCCTCTAATAAGTTACATAAAATTTTTAATCGAAATACAATTAAAGTTAGCTACAGTTGCACAAAGAATTTGGAAAGAATTATAAAAAGTCACAATAATGCTTTGTTAAATAAAAAAGAAATTAAGAGTAATAACTATGTAACTGTTTAGAAACAACGTTCTTCAAGTTTTATTCACCACAAAGTTCATTATTTGTAGACGAAAATTAATAAATTAATCAAAAGTATTAAAAAAAGTTGTTTTCCTTCTGGATAAAACAAGTGCAACTCCATAAAATGTTGATCAAGCTGTATTTCGCTATCAATGTTTCGTGGCAAATCCTTTGTTGTCGATCACAGCCTTTTATCTTTGAGGCATAGATTCGATCAGGTGATCAATGAAACTTTGTGGAATCAATGCCCAGGCCCTTTTGGATTTTTTCAAACAGTTGATCCTTATTAGAAACACCTTCACGATTAATTCTGCGGTTGACGATCTCCCACAGGTTCTCAATAGGGTTGAGATCCGGAGATTGAGGCGGCCAATCCATCACCGATTAGTGGTTGTCTTGAAACCACTGCTTGACTACTTTTGCAGTGTGTTTTGGATTGTTGTAATGCTGAAAAACCCATTTTATTTGCATATTTCATTCAGCATGAGGTAACATAACATCTTTCAGGATATTTTTATACATGAAACGGTCCATTATTCCATCGATTCGATGTATTGGACCTAGACTGTTAGCAGAAAAACACCCCCAGACCATTACATTGTCTTCACCATGCTTCACGGTCTTATGGCAGTAACCTAAATCGAGGCCTTTTTCGGCCGGTTGACGTACACGGCAAATGCCATTGCTCCCAATGATGTTGAACTTCGATTCATCACTGAACAGGACAGTTCGCCATTTCTGCACATTCCAGTTAATATGATATGTAGCAAACAGGAGTCTTTTCTTCTGGTTTATTAGTGAAATCAGCGGTTTCTTTGCAGGGCGTTAAGAAAACAATCCGGCTTCAACAGCACGTCGTCTGATTGTTCGGTCCGATACAGGCAGCTCTAATTGCTTTTGAATCTCGACTGATAATATCTAGGATCCTTCTTGACGGATCTGACGATCATAGAATCCTCTCTAGAAGTGGTGGAACGCGGTCTTCCACCTTCGTTATCTGCTGCCAACTTCCCTGTAGAACGATATTTTGAACATAGTCTTGATACGGTCCATTTTTTCACGCGATACATATCACAGATATTTTTTTGTGACATTCCACTTACGTAATCGCCAATAATTTTCTTTCTTAGTTCCAATCCAAGACTATCGGGAGCCATTTTTGCACTTGAAGTCATAAAAATAATAAGAATAAATAATCACGCTTTTCAAGGCTTATCGTGTTACATTTACCTTGTGATGTTACAATAATGCTCTGTTAAACACAACGTCTTGGTCGGATGTGGACTGCATTGATGTAATAAAACACTTGTTGTATTTCTCTTGTATTGATGTTCTTTGATAAAACACTTTAATAAAACTCACTTCGATAAACTTGATAATACTGACTGATTGACTTCTATATACTGACTGAATTACAAGTCGGTTTACATGTCTCTTATATAGTAAAACGAACCTGTTCTGGAAGATTCTAGATGCTTCTTTTTGATGCTTCTGGAAGCATCTGGATGCGTCAGGATGCTTCTGAATGTTTCTGGATATTTCCGGATGCTTCCAGATGCTTCTTCTGGAATCTTCTGGAAGCTTCTGCATGCTTCTGGAAACTTCTGGATACTTCCTTTAATTATTAAAAAACTTCCGTGACCAAACTTAAGAAAATGAAACAAACCAAAAAAGTTGCACTTGTTTTGTCCGCTGCAAAATGGCACTTGTCAACGAAATTCTGCCTGTAACATAACATAACATAAAAACGCTCCAATAACTTTATGAAAAATATGATGGTCTTGATTTTAAATATTTTTGTATCTGCGCGCGCATGGATGTCGGAAGAATAACCATTTGATTTAGAGTAGTTATTATTCCGGTGTTGGAACAATAACCACAGCCATATTTGAAACAAAAACAAAAACAAAACAAAAAAAACAAAAAAACGGAAACAGAATTTAGAAAAGCGTGAATCGATAATCAATTAAATCAGGTCTCAAAGCCGCAATAGCGCAGACGGAAGTTTTTAAATTTAAACTAAAATATCTCATAATTTAAAAAAGTTGTATTTATTGTTATGAATTTCTTTTTACAAAATTGTATATATATGTATATTAAATTTTCAATTGATAAAGAACTTTAAAAAGAATTTTGTGAAAGAGTTATTATAATGGAAGTTATCATTGCTTATTAAGCATGAACTACATTTTTCTTTGCAAACCATTCGTCACTCTTATCTTCTTCAATAGCCTGAAATAACCATACAATATAACTGTGTAAAAATTCTGTTATAACTCATTGTTAATCAATATTTTTAAAAGATTATACTATTACCTTGTATAACAAATCAGTAGATCCGGGATCAATTTTCGAAAGTTCTCGAAAACCTTCATCGCCGACGAAACAAATCTCATGACCATCCTGCAACAAAGTCTAACATATAATTCTTTTAATTCTAAAATATTAGATCGCTGCTATATTTAAAAAGTGTGCACAAACTTTTATCGTATTTTAATTTTAGACATTTCTTTGGAGAGGTTTAAATAGATTTATAAATTAAAATTCTCGCAGTAAAAATTCAGTTGTACCAGAATAATTTAGACTAAAGTATCTTTAATTATGATTATAAATTTCTTATTTTTTTTTTGATTAATAGTTTAAAAATAAAAAATCTACAAAATGAAATATTCTACAAAAACATTTTTAGTTTAAACATCAAATATCAAAGTTTATAATGCATTAACAGACAATTTTTGTTAGACAGTTTGTTATAATTTATAAATTACAATTAAATGCTTCCAAAGCTTTTATTATTCTATGAAATAAACTTTTTTATTTGTCCTTGGAATAAATGTTTTTCTAACCCATTTTGCCAAAAACAATTACATAAGAGCTGTTCCACAAAAACTTTGCTTCTGTGAAAGGGTCAACAATTTTTGAAATATATTTTGAAATCTGTGTGTTTTCGAGAAAGTCCTCAACTTGTATTGAATACTGAGCAATTTTCTAGAATATTCCTGAAATACCATGAAGTCCAAAAATTTGTCGGAATATTCCAGAACTTTTAAGAAATTTCTAAAACTTTCGAACATTTTCGTACTGTCCAAAAATAACCAGCCTAAAATGCACACTTCGTCATGGCTCTTGGGGATCATGAAAAATTCATGAAAAACATGAAAAAAAAAAAAAAAGTTTTCGTGAGCATTCGCATTTCATATGCGAATACTCACGAAAACTCTTAAAGGTAAGTTAAATGATTGTTTCTCGCTGTTCTTTGTTTTATAGAGAATTCAATTTAAAAAAATGCAATTGACAAAGTTTTCATATATATATTAGTGCACTACAGTATACAGCGTTGGCCAATTTAATTGAAATCGGTCACAAATTAGCAAATTTTTGACATATCGTTTTTATTCACTCCCAAAATTACATAAAATTGCAATTCAAAAAAGCTGTTCATATAAAGTTCAGTACAGAGATTGTTAACTAGTACTTGGTGACCTTTACCAACCTAACACTAACTTTACTAATGATATCCTTCCCCTGTTCCCCTGTTACCAACCTAACACCAACTTTACTAGTGATATCCTTCCCCTGTAGTCCTTGTTTTAAAAGAATTTTAACTTTAGCCCGCTTTCTTAGATTAAGATTGCCCCTATTTATCATTACGACTAATTCAATAAAAACTAATAACATCACGCATGTGTCCTGATTTATTAATAAATTTTTTCACCTTTAGTCATGATGCCATAGTAATAAACCGAATCAAAGATTATTTAGCATGCTTTTTGCAATCTATTTTAAATTATTGACATATGAACAAAAACACAGAGATTATGTGATTTCAATTAATTTGACCAAAGTGATTGTATACGATTTCAATTAATTTGGTCAACACTGTATTTATATGATGTATTGTATTGAATGATGTGTGAAATTTAACGCCTTTAAATTTATAATTAGCTATATATGCTGCTACAGGTTAGTACAAAGGAGAAAACAGAGAAATAAAGTTTTCTATCCCGTGAATTTGGCAACAACCAATTTTACCCCCACAAAATGTAATTCAGGAACAAATGTAAACACGCCTTAAATTGTATATCTAGATATTCCTTCCTCCATTGCATAAATATCAAATAACTCCAAACAGCTCGTTCCATACAGCTTGACAACTAAGAAGATATTATAGATACAGATAAAAGTTGTTGAGAAGCACTTCCCTAACAAGGAAGATTTTAACTTTCTAATGAAGACGTTTTTGCTGAATTTTCTCGTTTCCTTGCTTCTGGGACAGCCGTGACACTAAAAAGCATCTTGACAAGGTGTTGGCACCTTTCAAGTCTCAATCATTTTCCAAAGTAGTCTTATACTAAGGTTAGAATTGATATTTTTGTTGAATTACAAATCAAGAAGATTTTTTTAGAATGTGACAAGTTCATTAAGCTTTTAAACAGGATGAAGATAGTTGGAACAGTTTTGTTGCAGCTACTTATGGATTTCTAGTTAATCTTATGGCTGAAAACAATGCGAACTTGGTTCGAAATCTCATAAAGAATTATAAGCTAAAAAAATAAGGTGAAGGATATAAAGTCAATATCCCCAACATTTATCTCAACAAACTCAGAGGAGAAAATGGAGCTCACTTAGAGGAGCAAGACAAGTGCTTTCATTAAAATATACATTGAACTGGACATTATATTGAAAATATGATAAAGGAATACATTTGGGGTTTTCTTTCTGAAAGTGATTTACAGTTAACTTGCAAATTTCAAAAAATTAGATTAAGTTAAAAATGGATTAAATCAATCTGCAGAAGAGCATTCAAAAATAAATATATTCATTATATCAGTTAAAATATATATACACCTGCAGTAGATATATTCAGTAGATATTTTCAGTGACATGTTTAGTTGAAAAACAATTAAGTAAACAAACAATAAGGCTGCTGTTGCTGATGATTGCCAAACAGTAGAGTAATGAAAAAAAGCTTGTAAAGCTTTCTTAAATGCTACTTGCATATATTAAACATAACTGTAATTGGCTTCTTTTAAAGAAAAAATAATAAACTAAAATAAAAGTATCCATAAAGCATTATACCTGTAATATATTTTTTAACAAATTTTATTAGTAACTTATTTCAAAACAACAAAAAGACTATTATTAAAAAAAAAAAAAAATTTAACCCATTGCATGATCTTTTTAAACTTGCATCAAAACTTATTTATTTTTAGAAATTTTGAAATGAACTTATCTAAAATATTATTACAAATATTATTATTACATTTTAATATAACAATTTTTTTTACAAAAATAAAATTTTTAATTACAATTAAATTTTTATCATTTATTTTTAAATGTTTATTTTTAATGGAAAACATACTATTTTATTATTAGAGTAAATTATAAATTAGTAGGCAAATTTACTTACAGGGTCAGCTAAAATGACAACTTGAACTGTGGCTTTGCCAGGGGTATCCAAACTAACATAAGGAGTCAATATTGTTTGCGATGCAGCTCTCATTGCAGCTTCAATTTCTTGCAACTGTGATTTGGCACATGAAAATGCTATACGACCATATGCATCTCCACGATCTATGAGATTTTGAGATTCAACCAACTCTAAAGAGCACTAAATTAAAACATCAACTAAGACTTTTATTCTTGTGTATACACAGAAATTTAAAAATGACTATAACAGAAAAATGTATCGAGTTTAACGCTTTAATTGGAAGAAACACCAATAAAAATGATTCAAAGGATTATTTAATTTGTGGTTTGGAGAATATAATTTGTGCTTTACAATGCTTTCAATGTGTTGTTTTTATAATTGGTATATTTGTATACAATGTATATGAATACAATATGTGATTTAAATAAAAAATATAAACAGATCGACATTAATTTAAAAAAAAATTATTTAGATGGAAAAATTTTGACCTTCAATCAACAACTTTTAATCAACATTTTGTACCCTTAATTCTAATTTTAATTTAAATAGCCTTAATTGACTTGAAAATATATTCTTAACTAAAATTTATAACTATTATAAATAAAGGGTAACATTTTACATAAAACATTTTGAGGAATAGAAAGATAAAAAAAATCAAAAAAAAGTTCTTTTATCAGAAATACTTCTATACTTATCAGTATACTATTCATAGCATAGCCGTGAATAATCTGATGTTGATAAAGATGACAATTTATTTGACGATTAATATTTGAAATTAACAAGTTAAAAATGCATTTAATTATAAATAAGACAATTAAATTGTTCAAATCCAATTTATTACCTGATCTTCAGAATAACTTAATAATACAGAAGATGGTGATCTCTCTAAAATATTCATTCCAAGCAAACCATTCCAATACTCTTAAAAAGTCAAACTATTAAAAGTATGCTTAAATTATGCATATATATATATATATATATATATATATATATATATATATATATATATATATATATATATATATATATATATATATATATATGCGGTAGTGGTGTAGTGGTAGAGCGCTCGCTTCATAAACGAGTGGTTCCGAGTTCGACCCCCACCACATCCCTGGTAGTACCGCGCTCAACTCGTTTCTCCGCGCAGCGGCCTTGTTCATCAAGGTTTGTGTTTCGGAGTTATAGAGTTGAGAGAGGGTTATAACCACAAATAAGTAGCCTCCTCGTCTGTAGTGGCCTTCTCGGCCTTGAGGAGGTGAATTAAATAAAAAAAAAAAAAAAAAAAAAAATATATATATATATATATATACATATATATATATAATATAAACAAATATAAATTTTTATATTTATATTTTTATATTTTGAGTATACTTTGTCCCAGTACACCATTTAGGCCCTAGAATTGCTCTCTATCAGCATTTAATTATCCCTAGATATGTTCCTTATAAACACCTATTTATAACGTAATGTTCCTTATAAACATCTATTTAGAAACGCCGTATTTATAACGTATTTATACATGTATTTATAATGTATTCATAAACACCTATTTATAACGTAGCTCTTTGGCTCTTAATTATTAAAAAATCTAATCTTATAAAGCTTATTGACTCCTTCAGCTTCATCTCAATTCAACCACATATCTTAACCATAAAAATTAAAGACCACATTATATACAATCCACAATCTCTTTTAATCTAATTTTTCACTTCTTTTTTCAATTCAACCAGCCCACATTTGCTGCATTCAAACTCCATATATAAATCCATTAAATCACTTGACATGGTGGAGTGAAATTAACGTGTTAACTTTGAGAGACCTTTTCATTTATCAAAGCAAAGTTTTCTGTTCACTTAAAAAAAAAAATCATATTTATTCTATCAATTACTAAATACTACTGTTTAATCTCCTAAATACTATCGTTTAATCCTAAAATTGCTTTTGCAATTTATCCTTAGAAAATTTGCCCTCCATTTATTAGCCCCTTAATCATAACACAATACTAATAATACAATACTAAGATTGTTTTTTTTTTTTTTTGTTATATTGTTTATTTTAGTTGTAACTTTCTTTGTAAAATTCAACAATTATGCAGACTTAATCCTCCATTTACAGCAGATACTGTGTATATCTTCAGATCATGTGAAAAGGCTAGCAAATCCTGAGAAACTTTTTTCTTTTTACTTGCTCTAATTCTTTACTTTTGTCATTTCACTTCTAATTATTCAAGATTATTAACCTGTCACTAAAATAAAAATAACCACATAATTATATATCTAGAAGTTTACAAAATATTTAAGTTTTTAGATTCTAGGCTCTTTAAAAATCTTTAGATTCTAGGCTCTTTAAAAATATTTAGATTCTAGGCTCTTTAAAAATCTTTAGATTCTAGGCTCTTTAAAAATCTTTAGATTCTAGGCTCTTTAAAAATCTTTAGATTCTAGGCTCTTTAAAAATCTTTGTTGCAATTCAAGAATCTGGAAAGCTGTTTAAAAACTTTGTTCACGTTCTTATTTTTATCTCTAGTTACATATTTTACTTATTTTTATTTCTAGTTAAGTACACTGTATTGAATTTTTTATCTTTTTATATGGGCAAATTAATAGGCATTGTTAAAGGGCTTTGGAAACTCACCTACAGACTTTTCAATATTAGATACTGCCAATGAAACTTTTATCACAGGATCTAAAAAGTTAAAAATGAATTAAATCCACAAAGAAAAAAAATTGTGTACATTTCCGGAAATTTATAGTATTCTAGTAATGCTTAGTAAATATTTGTGTATTTATTAAGCATTATTGTGAAGTTTTTTAGTCCATGAACCTGTTTTTGAGGATGCAAAAACAGGTATATGAACTTGCATAAACAATACAGGTATTAATAATGTACAAAAAAGAAAAAAAAAAATTTGTGATAGATAAGCACTCAAAATGGATTGAAATAGAGGTTGCAAATAGTATTAAAGCATAGTCTATCATTTTAGTTTACAAGTAGTAATAGCAAACTTGGTAATTAGTAGTTCCAGAAATTTGCTTCCTTAACTTGTTTCTAGGCTCTTTAAAAATAAAAAAATTTATTTTATGAAAAACAAAAGAGATTCAGTGTTATTAATGATTTAACATTATGTGATTCACGCCCATACAGATGATTCAAAATGCAACTATAAGGTTTAAAAAATGATACAATGGTATTTAGAAATGTAAGAAAATGTAACTCTAAAACTCATTTTAAATTGAGAAGAAACATGCTTCAAGATGCAACACTAATTGTAAGAAACAGTACAGTTGCACTTCGAAATATTAAATCGCGTGTCTGCTTCTTTTTATTAGGTTTGGTTAAACGAAGCATATACTACTTTTAATGCTTTTTAAAGTTTTCTTTTAAATAATCGCAAGGAATAAAATCTTTATAGATCAAAATATAGTTTTATTAATGAACAAACTTTTGTAAGTAACAAACTGTCTGGTTATCCTGCCAGGCTACAGACAGGCATTTTTTAAAAACTTCAGCCACCCTTGGAAAAAATGAGTCGCCTTGTGCGGACGACCATGAGAGTACACTGCTGAATTATGCTTGCAGTAGCAAGTAGCTTGCAGTAGTTGATGAATTTTAACCTAAACAAAGCTTATTTATTGATAAAAATTATTGAAATATTCTTGATATATTGATGAATGGAGAATTTTTAATAAGACTTTCTCAAATTATCATTTAATACTGAACTCTCATGTAAGCCATACTATTCATCGCAAAGTTAGCATTCCCTATTGTTGCCTCTCTTTATTGTGCTCATTGTATTCTTATTCCTGATTCCATTCTCTACCTATATATATCTTTAATACACTTTATTTGTATGGAATAATTTACCATAACTAAATCCTGCATGACTTGCCATTCAGCAAAGTTGCATCATTTTACTTACTTTTTTATAATTTTTAAAAGGCTTTTATTTTCATGTCTTACTTATTTTCATTTCTTACTTATTTTCATGTCTGCATTTAAAAATTCAGATTTTTTGTTCAGCAAATTTTATTGATCAAATGATTAATAGTTTCAATTTTTTCTTGTAAACATTATAGCCAGACGCAGTTTTTAGAATGGGCCAGTTTAATTTAAATTTAATAGTTTTTCCTTTTAGTTGCCAAACATATTTTGACAGCATAGTCTCTTTTGAGTGTTTGAGTAAAATGATCAAAAAGATTTGGGTGAATAAAACTTACTTAACAAAAAATCTGAATTAATTTCTAAATGCAGACAAAAAAATAAGTACCTTTTAAAAATTTATAAAAATAAATTATAAAAACAAACCAGACTATATTTATTACAATTCTGAAGAATTCTTTTCATGATTAAATTTTAAATTTTAATGTAATTGATGCAACTTCCTGGTTCCAAAATAACAGTACTTATTACATTATTAATTATAACGATTCCCAACTTCATGTGAAATAGAAGTTCTTCTAGAGAAAAAAGAGAATGATAAAGAACAATGAGAAAGGTGAATGAGTGAAGTGGTGATTGAATAGACAGTGGATTTAAACGAAATTTCTTGATAAATGAATATTTGAATAAAGGTGAATTGATGTGTAAGATTATGCCCAAGCCTAGCGTGTGATTAATAGTCTTTGCAAATAATAATAGCCATCAATACTGAAATCTAAAGAAGAAACACCCACAATTTAAATCTAATCTCTTGCAAGAAGAAACACCCACAAGTTGAATCTAATCTCTTGCAAAATTCACCAGTCTGGTGAATTTTGCAAGAGATTAGATTCAACCCATGAAAAAATTCTTTGAAAATTATGAGTTTTTGTAAAAGATATTTTGAAACAATCGTTGTTTTTTATGTTTAATATTTTTAGGTACTTTTGTCATAATTTAAGTTAAAGAGAACTTGACTATTGATAGAGCAATGAGCTATGCAGTTGCTTCAGTCCTGCTAATTAAACAAAAGTCATAACTTAGAGCTCTTGACACAGTCTCCAAAATACACATTAAAAGCATTAATTGGAATATCAACTATGCACAATATGGCACTGTTAAAACACTATTATTTTATAACTGTTGATGAAATTAGCCTCTCTGAGAGCTACAACAAAGTTTAGAAAATCTTTGTACTAGTTGGCCTCAAAACCATAATACTGAGTTTTAGAGCTCTACCCTCATTATAAGATAAGAGGAAGAGTTGCGTAGCTACTTTCAAGGAGGAAAAAGTAAAAGTCTACGAGTAATGTCAAGATGATCCAGTATTTATAACCCTAGACAGAAAAGAATGTAACAAAGGTTTGCAATTACACCAGCCTAACAGATGAAGAAGGAATGTGCAGCTGGTTAATAGAATTATTTTGCTTAACACTTAAGTTGGGGTCTTCTACAAAACAGTAGCTGCATGCAGTTGACATCTGCCCAAGATAAGTAACTTTATTGAGATACCATCTCTAGCCTTTACTCAACCAAGAGCCCTAATGCAGGGTGTTTTAAGTCAGAGTTTATTTCTCCTTTTTTTTTCAGTCTACTACTTGTAATGGTAGTAACTCTTAATTTTACCTAGAAAAACGAACCCTACAGGGCAGCAGGACATAGAGCAGGTAGTACTGGATTACATGCTAATAATATCAGGGTAATGATTCTAAACCTGACCTGTACTTAAAACCTTATTTATAATACTTAAAAATAGACAAACTTAAAATAAATAAACAGCTTATATACTTAAAATAAGTATACAATGGTCTAGTACAGTATCAACAACTTACATGATTGTTGATGATTGTTGTAACTATGTAATCAATACTAATAATATGCTGCAATTTTATTAGTGCAGTAATTTTATTTTTCCTCCACTTTTGTCAGGTTCTCTACTACTACAGCATTGTTAAAAAAACATTTAAAAACATTGTATATAACATTTGTGATTTTATTACTGTTGAGCAATATAGAGGATAAATGCTGGAGTAAATTGCTTACTAATAGTAATGTTAAAATAGAATGAAATTTATAAAACTGCAACAAAATAGGATAATTTGGGATTTGGACTAAATTAAAATACATGACAAAGTATATTTAGCAGAAACCTTTTCTACTTGAAAAACCGTTTACAATGAAGGGATACCCATCAGGATCATTTATAGAAATGGATCCATTTTCACATTCCACTGATTTGATATCAAAACTTGAAATGTTATCAACTATACTTTTAAGGCCAATCGAAATTCCCTAAATAGCAAAAACAAAGATATGGTATAAAAAATTTATGGCAAATTTTATAGTATTAAAATTTGTGGTATTAAAATTAACTTATGAAATGTTACAATGAAATACAAAGATAATTACTAAAAAATCATTGCCATGTCGATATGATTTTGTTCCATAATTATAAACCAATTCTATAACAAAATGACTATCCTCTTCACCATATCCAATCATTGTCTTACTCCACTTACCATCATAAGGACTAAAAATATTGTAGAAACTAAAAAATTATGTTTTAAAAAAAACTAACCTAATAAATACAATATTTCATTATATATAAATTTGATATTTAAATTAAATTGTTACACATATTTTATATGTGTAACAATTTAATGTATAAATATCAAAAATTTTTGTTCATTTTATTATTAACTTAATTGTCAAGTTTATAATAAAAATATAGATTATCACAATTATTATTACTATACCTCATGAATATTTATACAAGTTGAAAATATCTGCTTCTTTTCTTTAACAACTCACTTGTATATTTAGATAAAAGTTTTTTTTTTTTAAATTATATTTGTTCAAAAAAAAAATTTGAAAAATTCAGACACCAAGTACTATACAAGGACCACAGTTAAATTTAGTATACACTTGAGTACTTGCTGTAGCCAAAAAAAAAGTTATTTAATTTCTTGTAACAAGATTGTGGATTTAACAGAATATTTATATTTAAATTAAGCCATAGGGGAAAGGTGGGATGGTTGATCCCAGTGAGTAGCAGCCTTATTGTTTACCATTTTTTGACAAATGGTCTCTAATTCAGAAAACGCCTAAATTTTAATAAAGCTTTTTCTACTTTGTGACATTTAAACTTTATTTTAGGTGTTCTAGGTAAGTTATTACAACATCAATTCATTTAGTTTATGATTATACTGCGCAAATTGGTGAAACATGTGAACTTTTACTAACCATTACATTGATAATTAAATTTGAACTCCTTTAGCTTAAACCTTAAACTTTTCAAAAAAAGGTCAACAGGATAGTTGATCCTTTAAAAGGAGGCATACTTGTTCCCAGAATCAAACATACCACGTTTAAGCCTGGTCAGGAAGGCATACGATTGCAATAGGTTATATGACCACGCCAATAATATTTTTAAAAATTGACCAACGCTGTTAAAAAGTTTCAAATTTTAACAATTTTAAAAAAAGAGCTGAAAAAAATAGCTAAACTACTTTAGTTTAACTTTAAACAACAAAACATAAGTTTTAATTTCATAAAGACAATGAATAAAAAATGAAATAAAAAATAGGGCTCAAATTAAAGCAAAAAAAACCTAACTGCGAAACGAAAAAAAAAAAATCCCCCTCCCTCATCCCTATTGCTGCTTTTTGGTAATGGAAGGTGGGGTGAGGGGGTTGGGAAAGGGTTTCTTGTCTCTCATATTTAAATATTATTTTGTAATTTTCTTGTTTAGCGGAGTTGAAAATAGTGTAAGTTATTGTTATTATTTACAGTTTAAGTTATAATTTAAAGTTTAAGTTGCACTTATAGTGTAATGAGAAAGTAACACATTTAATTAAGATATTACATTGAGCAATTGTTTTTACTTAACACGATACTTAAAAAAGTAAAAGTAAAATACTAAGAGTAAAAACACAAATAATTACAATATTTTAACCACTTTAATTAGTCATTGAAAACTAATCATTACCTATTTTTAAAAAGAATATTTAATTGCTATTGTAAAAGCTAAAAAATAACAATAAAACAAACTGCAAAGTTGTTTTAACAATATAAAAAGATTGTGTTAATGTAAAACCACTTTATTACCCCTAATAGACAAAAACATTACTTTTAAGAATGGCCAAAAAAATGCTAAATTAAAAAAGAAAAAAAATTAACAAAATTAAAACTAATTAACAAACAAATAAATGACGAAAATATTTTTTCTAAGAAAAAAACCAATTGAGAAGGTGTGAAAAACAATCGCGATTCCCTATTGTTTTTCACACCATCTTTTAAGAATGGCCAAAAAAAATGCTAAATCAAAAAAGAAAAAAAAAAAAAAAAACAAACAAATCACAAAAAGGTATGAAATACGTATTGCGATCGCGATTCGCAAACGCAATACGCATAATTTAAGCTCTGTATTAATCTAAACTACTTTTAAAAAAGTTAAAAACTTTTTTAAATAATTTAAAATAATGTTTTAAAAAAAGTTTAGTTATTTAAAGTCTTCTTTTATTTTCTATTTTGTGAAGATTTTTATTTTTTGAGAAACACAAAGTGACTTAGCGTTTCTCAAAAAAAAAAAATCGTTTTTAATGTATTTATTTTATTCATATTTATTCTTTCAGATACTGCATAAGTACTCAGTTAAAATTGGAGCAATGAAGTGAGTTCCACCCGATGCAGAAAAAATTTAAAAAAAAAGAGGCTGTAAAAGCTGTAAAAAATGGTGGAAGCTACAAAGCGTCCTCTAGGCAGTTTGGAATAATTGTCATGACATTTAATAGGTTATGCAGAAAAAACATAAAGCATGGCAAGTTTATTCAACTGATCAGGAAAAAGAACTTGGTATCTTTTTGGAAGACAAGTCTAATTTACAGTTAATTTCTAAAATTACATTGTAATTGTGGCTTTGATTTCCTTTCACGCCATCAATTTAAAGTTGATGCAGATCATAAGCCTGACGACTACATTTTAGCCAGGTTTGCTACAAAGAAATGAGTCAAGGTTTACCTGAGAAAAGTTTTGTATCTTAAACAAAAAAAACCTGAAAATTAAATTCTTGACTGCTGGTATTATAAAATTTAAACTCAAAATTGATGCTAATGTTTTACAAAAAAACTTTTTTTTTTTGGGGTCAATTTATTTCTACATTTCATTTTTTTTTTGTTTAATAAAGTAGATAATCCAGTTTGTATCATTTTTTGATTAGTCACTTATGTTATTTTATGGGTGGGATACTTTATTTACGGGGTCAAGTATCCTCATATAGAAAGGGATAGTTGGTCACATCCAGCTAAGATAATTAGAGGAAAGTTGTTTGACACAATTTTACATTTCCTTTTTTTTGAATTACAGTGCATTCCATTTTCTTTGTAATAAATTATAAGCTGCCATCTGAAACACATAGTTTGATTTTTGTACCAAAACGCAAGTAGATAGACAACATTCTTGGCTATATCCTGATCAATTAATTTAGAAAATAGGTAAAAATAAATGCTATCAAAAACTTTGTTGAAATCTATAAAGATTTCATTGGGGAGTGATTTTGCATCATCAGCATTATTAAGAGATTCTTCTTAGTAAAAAAACTTCAAATATTTTAGAACGAGCTCAATGATTGTTTACATCTGTTAAATTATTAATTTTAGATTTTAATAAAGGTATTATCATAGCTTATAAATTACTCAGCTTTATAATTTATTTTTACCATTTTATTAACTTAAATCAGTAAAAATAAATTCAATATATATATATATATATATATATATATATGTATATATATATATATATATATATATATTTATGTATATATATTATATATACATAAATATATATATACATATATATATATATATATATATATATATATATATATATATATATATATATATTTATATAAATAAATATATATTTATATATATATAAATATATATTTATATATAAATAAATATATATTTATATATATATAAATATATATTTATATATATATATAAATATATATTTATATATATATTTATATATATTTATATTTATTTATGTATATATTTATATTTATTTATATATATATTTATATATATACAAAAAAAATTTGATTGGCATAAATTTCACGATTTTGTTGTCAGGTTATACGTTTCACACAATCTAATTATTTTTTAATTAACCACTGGATTTTTATTATTATATTTTAATTTACAAAAATATCTATAGCTACAGTATCTGTAACAAGAGCTATTCTGTTATGCCACCTCTCTTGTATGGTTCAGATTTTGTCACCTCAACTAAAGACAAAACCGAATTGACAGCTAAGAAATTCTCATCAATATTATCTCTTGATTCCACCAGCCACGTTCTACCTGAGATAGCCGACAAACAGGTTGATCAATTGCCTGACCTTCATATCACTTCAGCTTCTGTATCTAAAGTGATTTCCTGCTTTGACTCTTCTACAGCTTGTGGTCCAGACAACATACCTGTTATAGTCTTGCAGAAGTGTTCTCCAGAGCTGTTGTCTATACTTTTAAAACTAGCTACAAGTGCTTATCAGAGTCTTGTTTTCCAGCCTGCTTAAAAGCAGCACCTGTTATTACTGTTTTCAAAAATTCTGGAGTTGGAACTGACTCGTCTTACTAGCGCCCATTAGTCTCCTTACTACCATAAGCAAGATTTTTGAGTCTATAATTAGCAAACACTTAACCTCTTATTTTGAATCTAATAACTTACTTTCTGATCATCAATATGGATTTCAATCTTGATAGGCTTTAATATGCATTAGATAGATGTGGAGAGGCTAAGGCTATCACTCTGGAAATTTCTAAAGCCTTTGATAAAGTTTAGCATGCTGGTCTTTATAAGCTCTCTTCTTATAATAGATCAGGTAACATCTTTAAGATTATTGAATCCTTTCAAACAATCGTAGAATAAAAGTTATCCTCATCGGACAGCACTCTTCTTCATATCCTGTCACTTCAGGGGTTCCTCAAGGTTCTTTTTTTGGCACTATACTTTTTTTAATTTACATTAACGATCCCATCCTTTTCTGACCCTCATGAAAAAATTTTAATATGCAGAGAGTCATAAAATATTTCCAAGGCAAGCCTTCCCAGGAAATGCGTGCGATTTTTTGTCTTTTATGATGCAAGTATTTTATTTTAGACAACTTAGTCGCGCTGATTTTAAGTTTTATAATATTAATCATTGCGGAAAAAGTTTCAAAAACAAAAAAAACAAACTAAAAATATAGAAAATAAAAAGAAACTTAAATAGAAAAAAATAAAAGTGTTTAGTGTTTTTATTTTTATTTCTTTAGAGTCGTTGTTACATTCAGCAACAAATTTATATAAGACAAAGCAAAAAAAAGCAGTTTTAAGTCTACAATGAAAAGAATGATTTTCAGAACAAGTTATATAAAATAAAACAATAAACTTACAATTACAAAAGTAATAACACTATAATAGTATTATTACTTTTATAAAGCTCTTATAACTTTTATAATTCATTTTTGTTTAAACAACATAAGTAATC